GAAGCTAAATAATGAATTGAAAATTAAGGATTTAAAAAATTTTCTTAAAATTGAGATTATCAGGTCAAGAAAAGTAATAAATATATGCCAAAGGAAGTGTGTATTGGATTTGTTAAAGGATACAAGTGTATTGGGTGGTAGAATTTCAACACTGCCAGTTGTCCATAATACTAAATTATGCAAAGATGCAGGAGAATTATTCTCATCTATAACTATATACAGGAGGTTGATTGGGAGATTCATGCATTTAACGCGCACCAGACTAGACTTAGGGTACTCAGTTCATGTTCTAAGTTAATTCATGGAAAGTCCCAATAACCAAAACTTGAATGCTGTTTTTAAAGTTTTGAGGTATATTAAAGGAACATTAGGATAAAATTTGTTTTACTCAAGCTTATATGAGTTAAAATTGAATGCTAATACTGATAACAATTAAGTAGATTGCCTTAGCACAAGAAAATCTATCACAGATTATTATGTTCTGTTTAAAAATTTACTAATACCCTGGAATCTAAAAACCAACATATTGTCTCTAAATCCTAAGTTGAAGGTAGACATAGAGTGATGGTCAGTGTATGTTGTGAGCTAACTTGGATCAGATATCTTTTGAACAACTTTGGAATCAATCATTCGAAAGCAACAGTTTTGCATTATGACAATAAAACAACCATATAATACACATAGTTGTTAATCATATACTCAATGAAAGAATCAAACACATTGAATTAGATTTCTCTTTGGAAGTGTAGTGATAAAACATATGAATTATAATAACTTACAAATATCTTTATAAAGGCGTTATCTAGTTGACTACTTAAACAACATATGATCAAGATGGGAGCAGAAAACATCCACTCTCTATTTTAAGAGAGATGTTAATGGATACTAGGCCGAAGAAATTGGCTGCATGCCTAAATCCACGATGTACGGGAGACCAAAATGCGAGGTCTCATTAAACCCATGCATGAACAATTGTATAGGACCAACATGTTGTACATACACCACTTTTACACAAGGTATAAGTACCTTGGATTCTTTATAACCTTCATTTTTATGCAGCTGATTACAAAACCCTATATATGTTTTCCTCTCATGCGTTGGTTTTGCTTCGGAGCTCTTCCAACAGATTTGAGGTATTTTCTCATTTCTTTCTCCTAGCTTTATTGATAGATTTTGCTTGCTAGTAAGATTATACATTTAAGTACCTATTTGTTACATCTTGGAAGAAAATTTTTGAGGAAAAAATTAAATCTCACTAATCAACAACACCAAAGATGCAAGCATTTATCTGATTACTTAAAAAAGAAAAAGAAAAAGGTAAAAAATAAAAGCCGAAAGCGCCAATTAAGCATCCTTTCAGCCTTTTCTTTCAAGTTTAATACTTCAAAACTTCACAGTTTGTTCCTAATTTTTTTTTTTTAGTGTTTGGTCTTTTTTCAAGTTTATAGCTGAAAAGGCTTTGGTATAGATTCTCCAATTACCGGTTACATCATTGTCGCCGTCCAGATCTGGGTTCTTGCCTTTTTCTTTTGAAGTATTACAGTTTCTGGTTTTATCAATATCACCATATTGAATTTCTTCCTTATTAGCTGTCTTCCTCATAAATTCTGATCGTAAAATTTTCCGTCTGCTTAAATGGAAAATTTTGACATATGTCAAGTTTTCTGTTTTCCCACTCGTTAGGTGTGTGCCTCTCATCTTCATTCTCTCAGACGTACGCAGAATTCCACGTAGAAACAGAGTTAGGCAGATTCATCTTCTGTTTCTCTTTGCGGAAGCTTTTTAGTTACGATTCATAAATTCTTTCCATTTTTGAAGCTTATTAGCTCATCCATGGCTTCCCGTGAACGCAAACAAGAACCATCCAATCCACCACTCTCCATCGGCTCAAGATTGAAATCCTTTATATTCTTTTCATTACCCATTTTAATTCTGTTTGTAGCTATTTCATTTAGTTTCAACAGAACAAACTTCTTCCAAATCGACCTCCTTAAGTCGATCCTCAGATCACGCCCCAACTCCTTTCAACCCCTTCTAGGGTTTTCTCACCCAACCTATAAACCAAACCATAATCCCCAGCCCTCTCACTGCGTACTATGGATGGCCCCCTTCCTTTCTAGTGGTGGATACAGCTCAGAAGCTTGGTCTTATGTCTTGTCCATCAAACAGCATATTAAAAACCCTAGATTTAAATTAGCTATCGAACAACATGGGGACCTGGAATCCCTAGAATTTTGGGAGGGGTTGCCTCAATATATCAGGAACTTGGCATTGGAGCTGTATCAGACAGAATGCAGGATGAATGAGACCATAGTGGTTTGTCATAGTGAGCCCGGGGCTTGGTATCCTCCATTGTTTGATACCATGCCTTGTCCACCATCTGGGTATCAAGGTTTCATGTCTGTGGTGGGTAGGACAATGTTTGAGACTGACAGAGTGAATGCTGAACACGTAGAACGTTGTAATCGAATGGATTACATCTGGGTTCCTGCTGAATTTCATGTTTCTACGTTTGTGCAAAGTGGGGTTGATCAATCCAAGGTTGTGAAGATTGTTCAGCCTGTCGATGTTAACTTCTTTGATCCTCTAAAGTATGAGCCAATAGATCTTTTTTCTCTTGGGAAATTAGTTTTAGGTGCAAAAAACCGGAAATTGAACTCAAAGGAGTTTGTATTCGTGAGTGTGTTTAAGTGGGAGTATAGGAAAGGTTGGGATGTGTTGTTGAAAGCATACTTGAGAGAATTCTCTGAAGCTGATGGGGTTGTTTTGTGTTTATTAACAAATGCATACCATTCTGATAGTGATTTTGGGGATAAGATTTTGGAGTTAGTGGAGGATTCTGATGTTGAAAAACCCGTTCATGGTTGGGCTCCTATATATGTGGTTGATACCCACATTGCTCAGATTGATTTGCCAAAAGTATACAAAGCAGCTAATGCCTTTGTGCTAGCTTCAAGAGGAGAAGGATGGGGAAGGCCTTTGGTGGAAGCCATGGCTATGTCTTTACCGGTCATCGCTACCAACTGGTCTGGACAGATGGAGTATTTGACAGAGAAGAACAGCTATCAATTGGCAGTAGATGGGTTAAGGGAGGTAAAGGAAGGGCCATTCAAAGGCCATTTTTGGGCTGAACCATCTGTAGAAAGATTGAGAGTTTTGATGAGGCATGTGATGAGTAATGTTGAGGAAGCTAATGAGAAAGGACGGATGGCAAGGGAGGATATGATCAGAAGGTTTTCTCCAGAAATTGTTGCTCAAATTGTTACTGACCATCTACAAACAATATTTGACAAGTTGACACCACGTTAAAATATCTGTTTATTTGGCAGGAAAATGTCTATCTTTTCTTGCTTAGCAATCTGTGCAGAAAGAATTAAACAAGTTTTTTTCAGATGAGTCGGGTACCCGACTCTCTTAAATTACATGTTATCTATACAAATAGTTGCAATTTTTGTTAGATGATGTGACTTTCATGAATCTAGAGTTTGTCCAAAGCAATTAACTCAGACTCATGGTTCATGGAGTTGTAAAACTCATGGTTATACAACATAAAGTAAATTCTCTCTTTCTCCAATACTCTGCTTTTTACTATACCGTATTGGGACAAAATTTATGTTGGTTCAAATAACAAAAATTTGCCCACTACATTTTAGTATATTGACCGGAATATTGTTATTGATCTATGCTACATAAAATTTTTCTAGTGTTTTCTTTTTCAAGGTTTTGTCCAACTAAGCTGATTTGATTGATTATAATAGTGTTGTTATATATACCAGTACTGTCCCTATGATCAAGACATAATCAAGACAAACATGGTCAGGGAATGTATCAAATAACAAAGAAGACATGATCAAGGGAGGAAAATATGTAAGAAAATATACACCTAATATTTTGCTTATGTTATAGCGATCTTCTTCCATAATCTCCTCTTTTTATTCCTCCACTACTCCCCCTAAAGTTGGAGCATGAAGATTGGAAATGCTCAACTTGCTAAGTAATTCATGGAATCGATCATTGGCAAGAGCTTTGGTAAAAATATCATCTAGTTCACTTTGAGAGGCAATGGATCGAGTTGAAAGGATTTGTGATTAAATATATTGTCAAATAAAATAATAATCTATCTCGATGTGTTTGGTATACTTATGAAATATTGAGTTAGTCGTTATGTGAATGGCAACACGATTATCACAGAATAAAAGAATTGGTCCTGCATGTTTGACCCCAAAATCTTGTAATAATATGAGCAATCATATTATTTGACACGTAGTGTTGGCCATAGCACAATATTCTGCCTCAATAGAGGAACGGAAAATTACTGTTTGTTTTCTTATAGTGCCATGATATTGGTGAAGATCCAAGAAAGATGAGATAACCAATTGTCGATTTTCTTGTGGTTGGACATCCTGCCCAATCTGCATCACACTATGCTTGTAGTGTTAATGACAGATGTGGAGATAGTAAGATACCTTGTCCTGGAGTGCTATTGATATAACGAAGTACTCTATATGCAACTTCAAGATGAGGTTGTCACGGAGAATGCATGAATTGATTGAATAAATGGACTGCATAACATACGTCTCGACAAGTGATGGTGAGATACAATAAATGGCCAATTAGTCGACGATAATCTTATGGATCAGTACATAGTTCATCAAAATCATTAAAAAATTTGTGTTGTTGCTCTATGAGAGAATGATACTGGTTTGCAACCAATGAAACCACTATCAGCTACAATATCAAGATCTTTGATGTGGAATTTGATATCTAAATAATGCTTCAGCTTAGAGATGCATTCAACATTTGTCCCCACAATGATAAGATCATCAACATAGATGAGAACGACAATGAATGATCCATCATTAGATGATACAGTGAATAAAAAATAATATATATCTGATTGCTTGAAGCCAATATTAAGTAGAGAATTGGTTAATTTTCTATACCAATTGCGATAAGCTTGGCGAAGGCCATAAAGAGATTTTCACAATGGATAAACTTGTTGCTCCTCCTGTTTAGTAAATCCCTGTGGAATTTTCATGTACACTTCTTCTGCAAAATCTTTCACATCTAATTTATATAGTTCCCAATTATTCAACAATGCAAGTGCCAATAAGCACTAAATTGTTACCAATTTGGCAACAGGTGCAAACATCTCATGGAAGTCGATTCCTTCAATTTGAGTGTAGCTTTTAGCAACAAGACAACTTTTGCAATGCTCGATGCTCTCATCCAATTTATACTTGACTTTGTAAACCCATTTGGAATCAATAACCTTCCTTTCAAGAGGTAAATATTCTAAAATTCAAGTATTATTTGCTTCTAATGCAGAAATTTTCTTAGTCATTACATCTCTCCGATGTTGAAATTTGACTGCTTGAGAAAGTGACTTTGGCTCATCATTTGATGTAATGGCCACTAGAAAAGTAGTGTTAGTAGCAGAAAAGTTTGAATAATAAATAAATTGTGAAAGATGATATATCGTCAAGTTTGTTAATAAAAGAGGGGAGAGTGATGTACAATTTGTGGGAGCAAAAGAGAGGGGCAAAATGTATTCATAGCCAGATAAATGATATGAGACTTATATTTGCCGTTTGTTTTCTTTTGGAGCAGCATTTGAATTAATCATCATGTGATTGATTTTGTGGAGATAATAATTTTTTTCAACCATTTCAATCTTAATCATGTCTTAAGTTGTGGTTGAGATAAAGTAGAAGCATTTGGTTTTGATTCTTGA